AGTATTCAGCAACAAGTGATTCCAGCGTCAGCCTGCATATTGTGCGCGCGCGAATACTAATATTATCAGGAGTTTTAGCATTACAGAAGATTAAATGGTTACCTCTTATTGGGCATCATGTTAGGTTAAGATCACTATTCGTTTCATCGCGAGCCCGCCTCGTCAATTTTGCATATGAACCTTTACCCGAAACGAAGCTGTCGTTCTCAACTTGATAAGAACGAACGACATGTTGTTTCCCCATGAAAGATTCATTGAACATTATTTATTCATTCTGCAGAATCAAAATACTTTCAGTTGCCTTTGCAGCGAAAAGATTCTCGAAACTGTGTAATGAAAGTGCTGCCTCATATGCACTATTAATTCGACGATGCTCAAAGAGAAAAAGTAAAACGACGTCGAAACTGTGCAGTTGACGTTAAAGAGACATCGGTGACTTGTTAACGAATTGATATAAAGATTGCACATCTCACGTTCCTATTGCATACCACTGCATCAGTTATATTCGATACTTTCTGCATTTCATTTCTAACACTTCAATATTTATTTATATTCGAGATTCACGGCTCGTAACTTTATTTACCGTAAAATCCCAAGCATATCGCGCTCTATTTTCATTCGTTTCAGCTGCCAAAATGGCGGTGTATATCATATTAGCGTACAGAACACGTCGCTTTCAATATTGAATTCAATTTAACAATATATTCGCCCGTTTCTGCTGGCTAAGTAAATATGAGTTATGCACAAAGTATTCGAAATTTCACCGTAAATATTCCTATAGTTTTCAAACGTCGAAATCAATTTAACGATATTGAAATATATAATTATAATCTTCTACCGAGTTGGCTTTTCGCGCCTGGAATTATGTGTGTATTAACACCAGAACTACAGAGTATTTGATACGATCAACATGTATCTTTCATAAAGATCATAACAATAAACAAATTATATATAATTTCACGTAGTTTTATACAAAAATATGTATTTATACATCATAAATACAATTCATTGATTTTCTGCAAATTTTCTGTACCAGTAAGCAGAATTAAAGAATCACAATGCTTCGATAAAAGTAAACAAAAATTGTTCGGTTTAGGTAAAATGTTTAAAAAGAACTTTTCACCAGCCTGGTCTAGAGAATGCCCCACTGTGGAACTGCACGACGAATTGCTTGTTTACAAGCACCCTCCACCTAGCGCAAACGCGTCAAGCATCCCGGACAACCGGATAACCATCCCAAGAAGAAAATCTCCGGCATTTCGTAACAATCGTTCTATAATTACCAAGGAATCTGCGCTATTCCTCCCGGGCAGAGCGGGGCCGCTCAGATTGAAGCCGCTAGCTCGAATGTGATTATGGCGACCCGGGCTTGATTATTATTTAAAGGAGCGGCTGGATTCCACGAGGAACCGTCCGTTCCTAGCCGAGTATTTGCAAGCGAATCGCGAGTCCCTTCCGTTTTGACTTGCTGCCGCGATGCTCGACCGGTCTCAGGGAATCTCGGGGCTAAGAACACCGCGGATTCAGCGGTTTTACTCCTTCTATATGTATTTCACGTGCTCGGAACTTACGCTAGCACCGCAGCGTGGCCTGAGCCCTTTCCGGCGTCCGGAGTCCATCCTTCTTCCGCGGCCATGCATCAACTGATCTCGCCGCGAAACTTTCCTGGCACTTGGTACCAGCGTTCCTGTTACCGGCAACTTGTCAAACTCGGCGAACTAAGGTCGCCCGGCGCAACATGGGGCGCGTACCTTGCGATTGTCGCAAGATACACCGATACTTAACGGCTTTATGACCTTTTGTGAACATTCGACGTGTTCTCTCGTTCATGCATTATGTAGGAGAAAGAGAATTTTATTTGAAACAATACAATTATTTTATGACGACCCGCAATGAAACACTAACTAAATGAAACAACGCACACACTATTTATATACTCAGTTTCACTCACACACTTTCTAGAATATTCTTTCATTGCCATGCATTAACTTCACATATATTTGGAATATTCTAGATTCATAAAAAAAACGAACATTATTAACATATAGAGAAAATCAATATAATCTAGAATATTCCAACGCTTTGAACATTCATTCAAAACGCGCTGACACACACAGTCGCGTCATTCATCTATTGCACACACATTCATCACTCATCGATATATCTATTCTCACACCCAAATACATCCATTCCCACAGTGATGCAACTGATAATAAAATAATAAGAGGAAAGGAATAAAATTTGATATTTGAAATCTCACTCAGCAGTTAGTTTCTTTAATAGAGCTTTTAAAGCTATTTCAATTGTAGGAATAAGTATGAAATTCGTGGTATAAGAATTTGTTATTTAATTATTATTGTTGTTGTTTCTTTTAGTATTGGCCCCTCGAGTTTAATCGGATTTTATTATATCCGTACAGGTTTCCACCTCGTACTGATGTATTCTTGTCTATGATGGGGGGTTTATGAATAGTAGCAGTAATTATTAGTATTATTTATCCTTTTATAATGAAGGTAAATACTACTGGAAGTAATTGCTATGATTTAGGTACATGCGCTGCGTTGCTAAAGATTTTTATGTTATATCATCCTTCTTATTGTAATTGTTTTCAAGCAATTTAAAAATTGGTTGAATACTTGCCAGATCAAGCAATTGCCAAATTGCTGTCAAGCCCGGTGACCCATTGTGTATATACCAGAAAAGCATACTGGATATTGTGAACTTCAACAGCAATTTGCAAACAGACGAATCATTTCCGAGCTACGAATCCTTTCAGGCTATTTACTTCGGCGACCAGTAGAATAGGATAGAGACATATAAAATTATAATCTCTTTTTTCGAATTCTGTGATCACTCCTTTGCATACCTTTCCATGAAATTGAAAATGTGGAATCACACTGTGATGGTCGTGATATCTTAGACATTTTAGGAACAATCTATATATATATATATATATTTCTCCTGTTCTTAAAAATAAAGATAAACAAAACTTTGCTCAAAGTAATTATAATGTACAGAGAGACAGTTTGTAGATAATTAAGGAGAATATATGTTAAATTAAACACAGTTTGGTTTATTTTTATTTCTAAAAATAAAAGAAATATAAAACGCCGCATTATGTGTGGGATGACCCAATACATTGTTTTATTACTTCAATATCTGCCAGAATAATAATTGATTATTATTAACTTACTTCCCGCCAATTTCTATTAGA